GGGGGGGGGCACACGCACATAGAGATCGATGTCCGAGCGCCCACGGCTGAAGGCGATCACCAGGCAGGAGAACCCATTGAACAGCTGGCACATTTGGCCGGCAATCAGGAAAGGCAGGATCATGTTCAGACGGCCGATGGTCGAGCCGAGGAGGCCGCCCTCGCGCGAGCCGGACCGGGCACGACCGGTCGCGCCGCCGGCCACGGCCACCGAGGAGGTCGACCCGCCAACACCAGCCCCGGCCAAGGGCGGGCAGATGACGCCGGGCGTGGACTCGGTGGAGGTAAGGGCGCCGGAGTCGCCGGCCGCCGCGAGGGAGGCCGCCGCCGCGGTGGCCGCCGCGGTGGCCGTCGCCGAGGCAGACGACCCGGCGGAGGCGGCGGCCACGGCGGCCGCCATGGCCGCCGTGCTGGCCGCCGACACCGACGGCGTCAGCGGCGAGACCGGCGACAGGATGGACGAGGCCGTCCGAGACCCGGGGCCGTCGACGACGATCGCCGCGTCGCCGGACACCACATCCAGGGGCCGACGCTTGCCCAGGGTGCGCAGGGTGCGCAGCCGGCCCATCTGGTACCGGAACTGCAGGAGCTGGATGGCGCCGACGATGATGTAGAAGAGGTTGATCTGCTGCCGGGTGACCGGGAAGTTGGGCAGGTCCGGCCAGACCAGCAGGATCCCCGACAGCAGGGCCGACAGGTAGTGGTGGATGAGCCACCAGCTGTGGATGCGCGACCCGTTGACAAGGAGGATGTGATCGCGCAGGGACAGGGTGCAATAGTAGTAGAGGACCAGGAAGTTGAAGATGGCTATCGGGAGAGGGAGAGCCACGGGCAGCCGGGCGGGGTGAGTGGCCGGGAGCCGAGCACATGGGCAGGGAGGGCATGGGGGGGGGGCTGTCTGCCTGTCTGCTTGTTTGTCTGCCTGTCTGCCTGTCTGCCTGTCTGCTTGTTTGTCTGCCTGTCTGTCTTTCTGTCTGTATGCCTATGTGCTGACCTAATGCCCAGCGGCAGCACAGTGATGGGGGTCTGCTGCACCAGCGGTGCGGCAGGAGACGCGGATGTCGGCCCCATGACTGTTCGTGGCCAGGGAGAAAGGGAGACGCCCTGCCTCCTATCAGGAAGGTCTTGAAGCGGGGAGTTCAGGGGGGAGAGAGAGAGAGAGAGAGAGAGAGAGAGAGAGAGAGAGAGAGAGAGAGAGAGAGAGAGAGAGAGATGGGGCGGCGGGCAAAGATACGCGAAAGGGCAGACGGAGAAGAGCACAGATGGCTGTATGGCCCGCACGGCGCCCGGACCCCAGGAAGGGGCGCGGCCGGCCGAAAAAGCCCGAACGCCCGCGATCGACGCCCGGCCAATGCGGGCCGAGCGTTGGGTCCTCGACATTAATAGGATCATGTGCCCCTTGCGCGTGCCATAGCGCCGCACGCGCGTCCCACCCTGGCCGCTGGCGCTCTCCCGCGGGCGGGGGGCACACACCGGCGGGTCGATCTTGTTCCGGCTGCGAGGGGTCGGGTGTCTTTCGGCCGGCCTCCTCCAGGCCCGGAACGACGGGGCCGTCCAAAAGAACGTCTCCTCCCCCCTCCCCCCTCCCCCCTCGCCCCTCTCTTTCTCTCTTTCTCTCTTCCCCCCCCCCCCGCCCCCACACGCCCCGCCCCACACCCAGGCACACGCACAGCCATGTTCAAGCGTGCTCTGAGCCACGTCTACAACCGGGCCCTCCACGGCGAGGATGAGGACTTCAACAATGACGCTGTTGAGGCCCACTCGGACGACTCGTCCGAGGAGTCGGACCTGAGTGTGTCGGACTCGGAGCTGGATTCCGACACCGACGAGATTGACCGGCTGCGCTTCAAGATCCGCAAGCTGGAGGATCGCAACGCCAAGGGCAGCGACGATGACGACTCCACCGAGGACGATGACAGCGCGGAGGATGATGACCAGCCCCGGCGCAAGATTTTCGGCTGCCAGCTCTGCTCCAACAAGTTCTTCCATTCCGAGGCTGAAGTGGAGGAGCACCTGAAGAGCAAGGTGCGCGCGCCCTGCGACGAGCCGCATGCATGTGCTTTGCCTGTGGATCCATTCGTTTGGTGTTTCCTTTTTGGCCTCCCTCTGTTGTTGCCCTGCCTTGCCCCTGTGTGTGTCTGTTTGTCTGTTTGTCTGTTTGTCTGTCTGTTTGTCTGTTTGTCTGTTTGTCTGTCTGTCTGTCTGCCTGTCTGCTTGTTTGTCTGCCTGTCTGCCTGTCTGCTTGTTTGTCTGCCTGTCTGCCTGTCTGCCTGTCTGCCTGTCTGTCTGTTTGCCTGTCTGTCTGCTTGTCTGTCTGTCTGCTTGTCTGTCTGTCTTTCTGTCTGCTTGTCTGTCTGCTTGTTTGTCTGCCTGTCTGCCTGTCTGCTTGTTTGTCTGCCTGTCTGCCTGTCTGCTTGTTTGTCTGCCTGTCTGTCTTTCTGTCTGTATGCCTATGTGCTGACCTAATGCCCGCTCTTACAGGGTCACCTGCGTCGTGTGCGCAGCACCACCCTGGCCAGCATGACCTCCGAGGAGATCGAGGCCCAGAAGCAAAAGCGCCGGATGAAGGTGGCTCGCAAGATTGCCCGCAACATCCCGGAGGCTGCGGCTGCGCTGGAAGCCGGCGACCTGGAGAAGGTTTTCCAAATCGCCTCCCAGCAGAAGAAGCGCCCGGGCCGGAAGCGCGCCCGGCCGGGGAAGCGCGCTCGCCAGGCGGCCGCTGCCGCTGGTGGTGATGTCGCCACTGCCACGCCCGAGAAGAGCAAGAAGGACGCCGCGGCCACGCCCGAAAAGGCCAAGAAGGCCGCCGCGGCCACGCCCGAGAAGGCCAAGAAGGCCGCCGCGGCCACGCCCGAGAAGGCCAAGAAGGCCGCCGCGGCCACGCCCGAGAAGGCCAAGAAGGACGCCGCTGCCACGCCCGAGAAGGCCAAGAAGGACGCCGCTGCCACGCCCGAGAAGAGCAAGAAGGACACCGCGGCCACGCCCGAGAAGAGCAAGAAGGCCGCCGCTGCCGATCTTACCCCGGCCGAGGCCACCCCGGCCAAGAAGGCCAGCACTCCGGAGAAGACCAAGACCCGCTCGTCCAAGAAGGCCGCCAAGTCCAAGTAGGAGGCGCGCGGCCGTTGCGTGCGCGTCCAAGCCCGCTCTCCCTGTCCTGCGTCCTCAGCAGGGACGAGATACGAGGCCCAAAATAGATGACCGAAACACATTGCCACAGACAGCAGCATGCTTTATATATTGTTGTGAAGGGAGGGGGAGCAGCCCACACACACCCGGAGGGAGGGACGAGCACCATGGTGGAGGGAGGGGGGCATCCCCCGCACGGGGGACCACACAGGGAGCGCGCGCCGCGATCAGCTGGCATTGACCATGCGGATGTCCGCCTGCTCGGAGGGGATGCGCGCCGAGGAGGAGATGACCACGGTGTCGGTCTCCTCGTCGACCGAGTGCTCCAGGTCGCCGGTGCCCGGAGGCTCGGCGCCCGGCTCGACATCCGGGTCGTCATTGCTGAAGACGACGCGCGGCCGCGACACCGCCGGGGCGGGCTCCGGGGGGGGCTGCGACACCGGCTCCGGGTGTGGCTCAGCCGGTGCTGGCGCCGCGTCCGGGACGACGACGGGGGGGGCGGCCGGCCCCGGGGCGGCGGCCGTCCCGCAGGCGGGCTGGTGCTTCAGGAGGTTCTGGCGCTGGCGCTCCTTCTCGGTGGCCCGGCGAACGGCCTCCCGGAGGTTGCGGCTCCGGACGAGCTTCCCATGATAGATGCGCAAGGTGGTGTACATGTTGCCGGAGCCGGTGATGAGGAAGAGGACCGCGGCGGCGAGGGCCTGAGCAGCGGGGTGGCGGCGGGGTGG